TGACAAACAAACCAAAGCGTCAACAAAAAATGACAAACAAACCACAGCGTCTATAAACAATGACAAACAAACCACAGCGTTAACACACAATGACAAACAAACCAAAACGTCAACAAACAATGACAAACAACCCACAGCGTCAACAAACAACGACAAACAAACCAAAGCGTCAACACACAATGACAAACAAACCACAGCGTTACCAAACAATGACAAACAAACCACAGCGTCAACAACCAACGACAAACAAACCAAAGCGTCAACAAACAACGACAAACAAACCACAGCGTTAACAAACAACGACAAACAAACCACAACGTCAACAAACAACGACAAACAAACCACAGCGTCAACAAAAAATGACAAACAAACCACAGCGTCAACAAACAAACTACAGCGTCAACAAACAACGACAAACAAACCACAGCGTTAACAAACAACGACAAACAAACCACAGCGCCAACAAACAACGACAAACAAACCACAGCGTTAACACACAATGACAAACAACCCAAAACGTCAACAAACAATGACAAACAAACCACAGCGTTAACACACAACGACAAACAAACCAAAGCGTCAGCTAGACTGATCATGTACCACGCTCAATTTGTGAAGGAAACGTCTACAACATAAACTGATTTAAAGTTAGGGATGTGCCAGTGGAGTTGGGGTTCCGGGACGAGTACAATTTCAAGATCTAACTTACCAGATTTAAATCTGGCTTAATAACTGAAATATATGACAGAGTTAACCTGCGATCAGAGTATATATAACGCGTATAGTACAGTTATTGCAAATGATGCAAAAATACGTACACGACAACAGATAACAAACGTAACTTAGATATCAATGACAGTAGAGTAACCATTAGTTTTCTAACACAAAAGGTCGCGTGTAACAAGCTAAGAAATGTGGCATAGTCTGTAACGAGTGTACAAAGGGACGTAACTCTCCCTGTATTCCTTACACTATTCTCGGCGGACCTATTGCTGTAGCGTCCCAAGACAATGTCCCGGAGTATGGACCAACACTCTATGGCTACTCACACGAGTAAGACTAATGTGTTAACACGAGTAAGACTAATGTGTTAACACGAGTAAGACTAATGTGTTAACACGAGTAAGACTAATGTGTTAACACGAGTAAGACTAATGTGTTAACACGAGTAAGACTAATGTGTTAACACGAGTAAGACTAATGTGTTAACACGAGTAAGACTAATGTGTTAACACGAGTAAGACTAATGTGTTAACACGAGTAAGACTAATGTGTTAACACGAGTAAGACTAATGTGTTAACACGAGTAAGACTAATGTGTTAACACGAGTAAGACTAATGTGTTAACACGAGTAAGACTAATGTGTTAACACGAGTAAGACTAATGTGTTAACACGAGTAAGACTAATGTGTTAACACGAGTAAGACTAATGTGTTAACAGCAGTAAGACTAATATGTTAACACGAGTAAGACTAATGTTTTAACACGAGTAAGACTAATGTGTTAACACGAGTAAGACTAATGTGTTAACAGCAATAAGCAGTGACATTAACAGAGAATTTGGCTGAGGACAAGACACTGCTCTACACAAATCTTCTATGCTGTTTCCTCTTTTATAGCAAAATTCAGCGGGGAATTTCTGTCAGAAAGCGCTTGTACATTGTACACAAACACAGAAGTGGTTTAGAGCCATAGGCATCCCTCTAGTCAAGCTATCCACACCTTCATGGAAGAACGTTGTCGATGACAACATTAATAAACAAACCCATATAATATGCAAAAAAAATGAAAAAGATTGCGCATAGCTCCAACAGGATATATTTTTACTACACAAGTGGTCAGAAATCTGGCAACTACGACGAATGCAAAATGATGCGATTCAAATATACACAGGATGAACTTTTGCCGCCATTACTTTTTTTAAAAGGATATTGTAGTCACCATAAATAATAAACTAACATCTGACAAACATAAATGGGAAAAGGTTAATAAAGCAAAATATAGTATAGGATTATTGCCGAGAACAATGGAATATATGAACATTAATAGTTTTAAATTGTTATAAACGTCATTAGTAAGAACTCTTACTGAATACGCAAGCCAAGTATGGTGCTCTGATTTATAAAAAAAAAACCAAGTAATAGCGATTGAAAATGTTCAACGTCGAATGATGAAACAAGTACCAGGACTTTCAAACTTATCATATACGGAACGTTTGCAGAATTGATATTACCGACATTAGCGTAAAGAAGATCACGTGGTGATATGATAGACGTGCATACAAACTCCGGAAAATATGACACAGAAGTGGCAGACTTATTTACAGTAATAGAAGGCTCAAATACTCGAGGTCATAACCTTAAAATGGTTAAAGAGTATTCGAGGTTAAAAATAAGAAGATGTTCGCTCACACAAAGAACTGTTGAAATGTGGAACAACCTCCCGCCAAAGGTAGTGAACGCAATGGCAGTTAAAAATCAACATTTTTTTTTTTATTGTTTTAATGTAAAAAAAACCCAAAAAAACTATGAACTATGCAACTATTATAATAAAATCATGTAAATCTGGAACATATTTAATGTATTTTGTCAGAATTAACACATTAATGTCGTATAACCCACCTGCTTTTGTAACCTGGCTACATTGGTATTGTAACCTTCAATGTAATTGTAGTTAAATATTTTCGGTTTATCCTTAACTAGATGATTGGTCCTCATCTTCCGGTTCATCAACACATTCCAAACGGTGTGCTTAGCTTGGATAACAACAAATGGATGGCTCTGTAGTGAGCGCGGGGCCAATGCCTCGACGGGCAGGTCAAAGGGTTTCGGCAGAAGTTGTATCTGCGACAACTAGAACCGGGGGTTTACTAGTGGGTACAAGTGTACACACACAGCACCCACCTACCTCGGACAGTCGTAAACATCCCACTCAGACCACTATATTACATTTCAAATAACTTATTTAACCAAATTTTAAATTCCTCGAATATTGCTAAAACCATGCTGACGCAGTCATAACAAATTTGTAGATTGAAGCAGATTTAAAATTTGAGTTAAAATCTTTAGAAGATTTAGGCATGACTGGCATATCGAAAAGAGGACTGTAGAAGTTAATGGTATGAGCACAGGGACCTGATAATTTGTTACAGTTATATTTCGACCTAAACTACGGTGTTCAGAGTAATTTTAAATGGTTTAGATCGACTTCCCAATGATCTTATATGATCATTGAGGGTGTCATTTTACCGAAAGTCGATATAAACCCCTATAACATCCTAAATTACTCTTAACACCTTAGTTTAGGTCCAAATATAGCTGTAACAAATTCTCAGATCCCTGTGGGTATGAGGTGTTAGCTGTTCTCTAGGTTGTGATACCGACGGTGATCACCAGGCATCAGTAGAACGGAGATGACACATATGGAGTAGATCAATTGTTTAGGGTAAACAATAAATGCACTTTTCCTATTTCAAATCATGTTTTAAATGTCAGGGTAACGTATACATAGCATCTATTATTCATGGGTATCCATAGTTCCATGTAAGTAGTTCTGAAAAGGTTGAGTTTTCTTGACAAAACTTCAAATGATACACGTGTACCTGATATACATGTATGTACACTTCAGTTCATCCTCAAAATTCCATTGCGGTGCACGTGGTGGCCAAGTGATTAAGACGTCTGACATTCTGATACCACTAGCCCTCCACCACTGGGTCGCGGGTACGAGACCTACGTGGGGCAGTCGCCAGGTACTGGCCGTAGGTCGGTGGTTTTTCTCCGGGAACTCCGGCTTTCCTCCACCATCAAAACCTGGCACGACCTTAAAAGACCTCTAACTTCCTTCGCCTCCTTGGAACATGTCATATCTTATAGATATTATCGTGTTTAGTCTGCACTAAACCCAACAGCACACACAGGTTATACTCTGCTATTTTTTTTTGTCGATAAAATAACAAACACTTAAATTGTCGAAAATGAGCATTTATTCTGAATGCCAGAAATCGAACATATGTATACATATTTGTGTTGATTTTTATAATAGGGTGTACAATGAACCAAAAAAGATGGGGCTTGCTTCAAAATAAACGCCATTTGTAATTAAAAGATGTACAACAAATGAACCAAAATTTAGAACAAAGATGTGAAACAATTACATATTTACACAATAGTACATAAAGGTGGATACAAATTAGGGGAGGAGGAGGGCAACTGATTTTTTAAGTTGATTTTTCAAAATGTCAGCATGGAAAAAAAATATCTGCACAGGTCACGTGACTTTAGTACACCAAAACATCACGTGACTACTTCTTTAGGGATGGACTAGTTTAAAAAAACGGAAAGTTATTCTCCATCCGGAACCAACAAAATATAACAAATAAAAATATCATATACTAACCAGATAATATAAATTACTTTATGCATTGCATAAATACAATTATATTATCGTGTTTAGTCTGCACTAAACCCAACAGCACACACAGGTTATACTCTGCTATTTTTTTTGTCGATAAAATAACAAACACTTAAATTGTCGAAAATGAGCATTTATTCTATATCAATGGCAAGGGATTAGCTATTTGATTGGTTTAAAGTGAAAAAAACTGACAAATCGCTACGATGATACTGATAGCCTTTGAAGATTACAGAGGAGCGACACCCGACTTAACGCCAGTCAATTTTACCGTTACAATGCCGCGCGATCAAATGCACAAGAGCCTTCGACTATGTCATAAAAATACTCCAGGGGTGCAGAGAACGTGAGCGTAACCCCTGGAATTTCAAGGATGATGTTAATTGTACATTAACAAAGTTTTGCCGACAATTCTCAATAATTCTACTAACATTACCACGTCCCAAAATGTATGTTTGGATTTAAATCTTAAATAAAGTCTAATTATAGTACGTTTAGTACCGCTTAACCTACGAACACAATCCAAATATGGGTTATCTCCATTCGATTTCAGGGCAAGCGTTATAGAATCACTGTGGTACGAGATAAAGCGAGATTTGGGGTCGTGGTAACTTTATTAAACCATGACAGCTCCAAGTATGAGGACAGTTTATTTTGCGTTTTTAGTTATATATAAGCTTGACGTATGTGTCCAGTCGGCGGATACGGGAAAGCTGGACAAGCGTATACTACTGAGTGACCCAGAGTATGTCCAACAACAGCTTACCCATCTACAGGCCGAACTACAGAGTCTACAGGTAACGGTCCTGACCCAGACAAGCGAGATCTCCTCCCTCAGACAACAGATGGCACAGACACGTCCAGGTAATGTTTACACAAGTCTTCTTAAAAGGCGCAAATATATATATATATATGTGTGTGTGTGTGTGTGTGTGTGTGTGTGTGTGTGTTACGTTCATCTTTTGAAACCTTGTCATACTGGCATGTAATATTACTGATAAGAGTTTAATTTCATTGTCAACCCAATCATGTCCGGTGCATTAAACTGGGTATATTTCGTGGTTTAATTCCACCCTTGTTTATATCAGACAAACAAACACGACACTTCACAACTGCAGGGGTTTATGTTTTATCCTTTGCTGTTTTTCACTTCCAGGAGGAGTTACATTTGTTAGATGGGGGAGAACTGACTGTCCAGTTAACATCACTGATCTCGTCTATTCCGGTACGTCGAATAATTAAAAGCAACTCATTGAACATGTATATCGAGTCCAATCATTGATTGAGCACAAGTGATATTAACAATACCAACGCCCTCTTGTCCAACAATAACAACGCCCTCTCCTTCAACAATAACAACGTCATACCCTTCAACAATAACAACGCCCTTTCCTTCAACAATAACAACGCCCTCTCCCCTAACAATAACAACGTCCCCACGTACAACAATAACAACGCACTATCATTCAACAATAACAACGCCCTCTCTATCAACAATAACAACGCTCTTTCCTTCACAATAACAACGACCTCTCCTTCAACAATTAGAACGTCCGTCCTTCAACAATAACGGCCTCTCCTACAACAATAACAACGCCCTCTCCTTCAACAATAACGGCCTCTCCTACAACAATAACAACGCCCTCCCCTGCAACAATAACAACGCCATTTCCTCCAACAATAATAACGCCCTCTACTATGACAATAACAAAGCTCTCTCCTCCAACAACAACAACACCATCTCGTACAACAATAACAACACCCTCTCCTCCACCAATAACAACGCCCTTTCCTTCAACAATAATAACGCCCTCTCCTCCAACAATAATAACGCCCTCTACTATGACAATAACAACGCTCTCTCCTCCAACAACAACAACACCATCTCGTACAACAATAACAACACCCTCTCCTCCACCAATAACAACGCCCTTTCCTACAGCTATAACAACGCCCTCTCCTCCAACAATAACAACTCCTTCGCTTCCAACAATAACAACTCTCTTTCCTTCAACAATAACAACGTCCTCACGTACAACAATAACAACGTCCTCTAATCTAACAATAATTACGCCATTGTCTTCAACATTTACAACGTCCTCTAATCTAACAATAACAACGCCATTGTCTTCAACAATAACAACGTCCTCTAATCTAACAATAATAACGCCCTTTCCTCTAACAATAACAACGCTCTTTTCTTCAACAATAACAACGCCTTCTCCTCTAACAATAACAACTCCCTTTTCTTCAACAATTACAACGACCTCTCAATCAACAATAACAATGCCCTCTCCACCAACAATAACAACACCCTCTCCCCCACCAATAACAACGCCCTCTCCTTCAACAATAACAACGCCCTCTCCTACAGCAATAACAACGCCCCCTCCTCCAACAATAACAATGCCCACTCCTTCAACAATAGCAATGCCCTCTCCTCCAACAATAACAACACCCTCTCCTCCGCCAATAACAACGCCCTCTCCTTCAACAATAACAATGCCCTCTCCTCCAACAATAACAACACCCTCTCCTCCGCCAATAACAACGCCCTCTCCTTCAACAATAACAACGCCCTCTCCTACAGCATTAACAACGCTCTCTCCTCCAGCAATAACAACGCCCCCTCCTCCAACAATAACAATGCCCACTCCTTCAACAATAGCAATGCCCTCTCCTCCAACAATAACAACACCCTCTCCTCCGCCAATAACAACGCCCTCTCCTTCAACAATAACAATGCCCTCTCCTCCAACAATAACAACGCTTTCTCCTACAACAATAACAACGGCCTCTCCTACAGCAATAACAACGCCCTCTCCTCCAACAATAACAATGCCCTCTCCTCCAACAATAACAACGCTTTCTCCTACAACAATAACAACGGCCTCTCCTACAGCAATAACAACGTCCTCTCCTATAACAATAACAACACCATCTTGTACAACAATAACACCTCCCTCTTCCCCAACAATAATAACGGCCTCTCCTTCAACAATAACAACGCCTTCGCTTCCAACAATATACAACGCCTTCACGTACAACAATAACAACGTCCTCACGTACAACAATAACAACGTCCTCTAATCTAACAATAACAACGCCATTTTCTTCAACAATAACAAAGCCCTCTCTTTCCAAAGTAACCAAGCCCTTTCATTCAACAATAACAACGCCATCTCGTACAACAATAACAACGCCCTCTCCTCCAACATTCAATAACAATAACAGCGATCTTTCCTACAACAGTAACAACACCCTCTCATTCAACAATAACAACGCCCTCTCCTCAAACTTTAAAAACGCCATCTCCTTCAACAATAACAACACCCTCTCCTTCAACAATAATAATTCCCTTCTTCTCCAACAATGATAACTCCCTTTTCGTCAACAATAACAACGCCCTCTCTTCCAACAACAACAACACCCTTTCTTCCAACAATAGCAACGCCCTTTTCTTCCAACAATAACAACGCCTTCTCCTCTAACAATAGCAACTCCATTTTCTTCAACAATTACAACGACCTCTTTTTCAACAGTAACAATGCACTATCATTAAACAATAACAACGGCCTCTCGATCAACAATAACAAAGCTCTTTCCTTCACAATAACAACGCCTTCTCCTCCAACAATAATAACGGCCTCTCCTCTAAAAATAACAACGCCCTCTCCTCCAACAATAACAACACCCTCTCCTCCACCAATAACAACGCCCTTTCCTTCACGATAATAACGCCCTCTCCTCCAACAATAACAACGCCCTCTCCATCCACAATAACAACGCTCTCTCCTACAACAACAACAACACCATTTCGTAGGACAATAACAACGCCCTCTCCTTCAACAATAACAACGTCGTTTCCTCCAATAATAACAACGTCCTTTATTCCATCAATGAAAACACCCTATCTTCCAACAATAACAACACCATCTCGTACAACAATAACAACGACCTCTCCTCCAACAATAATAACGCCCTACAATAACAACGCCTTTTCCTTCAACAATAACAACGGCCTCCCCTACAGCAATAACAACGCCCTCTCCTCCAACAATAACAACGCCCTCTCCATCAACAATAACAACGCTCTTTCCTTCACAATAACAACGCCCTCTCTTCAACAATAACAACGCCTTTTTTCCCCAACAATAACAACGCCTTCTCCTCTAACAATAACAACGCCATCTCGTACAACAATAACAACGCCATCTCGTACAACAATAGCAACACCATCTCGTACAACAATGACAACGCCTTCTCGTACAACAATAACAACGCCATCTTGTACAACAATAACAACGCCCTCTCTTTCAAAAGTATCCAAGCCTTATCATTCAACAAGAACAACGCCATCTCGTGCAACAATAACAACGCCATCTCGTACAACAATAGCAACACCATCTCGTACAACAATGACAACGCCTTCTCGTACAACAATAACAACGCCATCTTGTACAACA